ATGAATGACTTTTGTTTTTCGAAGACTGGTTTATATTTATGTCTTGTCGCTCCTCCCTCGATAGAAGGAAAAAAAATCCCCTGAAGAGGAGTTGAAATGTCTTTTTTTTTTTATGGAAGGTTTCTATTCTACATAGTTTGGTTTTTCCGTTTTTAGCTCCATGTAAGAGTGACAGGGATCAGAACGTTAGAAGTTATCGAATATTTCCCAACTTTACTATCCTCCAGGGCTCCTGATATCGTTTGATGGATGCTACTCCGGTAAAAACACGCTGGCATTTGGCGTGACGAATACTACTTGAGCCTTCTCACATTCGACGTTAATATTCCTGTGCATGTCTCCCTCTGTATGTTTCTCAACCCAGCCACTTGCGTAGATGGGCCGACCAACCGAAGACTCTGCCGCTTATGTGCATCCTTTTGCTTACGATAAAGGAGGACTGTCAAGGGACTCTACGGCTAGGATGCAATCTCGATGGCACGAAGCTGATTATGTGCGATGAATAGTCAAACTTGTACGTAGTTGGTATGTACGATCGGTCTTGTGTTTGGCATATGGAGAATGACGCGTCACTGTAATAACGTGAGCACGACAGAGAGTGTCAGGATTGGCCAGAGTAATGAATTAATGAAAATGATTGACCTGCATATCTATCCAGTTGATAGACACATTAGCTAGCAATAAATTGACATAGGTCGTTAAATGTATGCTTACGCACAGTATGCTATTAGAAACTGGAGATGCAAACGCAAAGAAATGACAGGCAAAAACACACAGTAAGATAGTCAAGAACGAGAAATATTGTTACGATATATAGACAATGATTAGGACGCGAAAGACACTTGTTGTGACAGTGGGGAAGTCAAGAGAGGCATATATAGGCCTGCTGCAAAAGTGCTTTAGATGGTTGAATGTGACGGTAGAAACGTCAAAATGAGCGTACAATCGTTAAACTAGACAAAAACTTTTTGGTCTGATAAAAATTATGACAGTAGAGGTTATCACACAGAAAGGTCGTTTGAGTCCGAAGACATGGCAATAGAGTTTCCCAATTAGGTGCTATTTCGAAGACAAATCTTTTCAATGTGTGTCAGAGCCGTTAAGTTTTCTATGCGTTTTTCTATTTTATTTAGAATATTTTCTTATTTAATTAGTCAACAGTCAGAGTTTCTTTTTTTTTTAATTAATTTTGGTTTTAGTATTGATTTATTTCTTATTTGATTGAGAGTCTGTTGAGGGTTGGTTGTCAGCACCCTAAATAAATATAGTATCGTTTTGAAAGTATTCAGTGATTATTCAGATTTTATTTCAAACATTAAAACTAAGTTTATTTGTTTAGATTTATTTATCAATTCTAAAAATATGACGAGTACACATCCTTGTTAGGCTAACTCGCTGGGTTAGAATAGTACTATTATAGGTACAATTCATGTAGAAACGAAAATTATAGACCTCGAAGCACCTAATTTGATAATTTCGTTTTTGTTTATATCGAGTTGTGGGTCTTTTCACAAATTCAACTTTCAGGTCGGCGGCAGAGCCGTCTTTGTAAGAAATAATTGAAGGTTTCTGCGAATATTAGATTACAGTGTTTATTGATGGATTTGTGAACTTTGAGAAGTCTCAGGTGTATCTTATGAAAATAGTTACATGCTAAGAGCCATAAAAGATGGGTACTACGTCCAGAATGAAGAGTGTGGTGTCATGTTTTCATGAATAGTGGTGGAAAAATCAAGAGGCCAAACTAATGTGAGAAAGTTGTTCAGATATCCTCATTTATCACATCGAAGAGGAAATGGATTGTCAATTGATGTTGAAAGTTCTCCTATTTTTCTCCGAGTATCACATGGAATAACAGAAACAAGTACAAAGCGTGCTGATCGGAGGGTTTAGCAGGGTGTTGGGGATCTCTTAGTTTGCTCTTAGAAATGTTCCGGAGGGGCAATTCATTTTCTGTTGAGATTTTAAAGTTGTGATCATGGCTAGAAAGGAGGAGAGATTAGCTTCTTAGGAATTTAATCCTCATCAAATGAATGATGGATATACATTTCATCTTTAAAATTTGTTGGAGTTTAAGTGAGAAGAGAATTAGTGCGAAATTTAAAAGCAAATTAGGTAGTTTGGAGAGAAAAGTTGGTGGGGAAAAGGCAGAGAAATAAGATACTAGAGATATGTTATTTGAATCATAAAGGGTATGATATATGTTTTAATTATTCTGATTAGGATCTTTTTAAAGCTCGTATGGGGAATTTTACAATCTTTATGGCATAAATGTGTCACTGATCATCGAATTATGTGTTTATCTCTTGTGAAATCTCTACAAATCAACAATGATGCCGACACAGACGAAGATAACGCAATTCAACATCAGAATAACAATACACTACACTAATCCAATTGTGTTGTGACAATCTTAATTTGCATCTCCCACCACTCATAAATTTGGCCCTTCAAACTCTGTCTTATTTCACAAACTCGAATTCCAAAAAACAAAAAAGAAATGCACAAATGGGGATTGTAAAGAACCGTTTTTGGCACAGAAAATAGATGGACCGAGTCAATTTTATGTCCATATATATACCAGAATAATGAACAACTAAGTATAAACAAGTGGTGAATATGAAAGGGAAATTAAGTTTAATAGAGTCCAATGTTTGTGTCAAAAGCTTGAGTTTTCTGGTTCTGATTTTGGTTGCGTCGTGCGTCCTCATCTCTCATCAAGTTCTGTTTGAAAGGATAAATTTGAAAGGTACATTGCCTCGTGAAAATGAAATTTATTATTATTATTATGAGAGAACGAGAATGCCGTGTGTGGCATCAATGGATTTAGACCTTGTGAAGACAATGATTTGTCAATGATCGCACACACGCTTGCACAGAAGGTGTCACCTCAATCTTTGTATCGGCTAGGCTGGTTTTTGGCCCCATTCTGTACACCCATGGTAGTAGAAAGAACGAAGAGACTCCATTAACATGCAAAGGTTTAAAACCAATCAAAGAGTTCACGTCCATGGTGCATTGCTAATTATGTCAACAAGCTAGCGTTATTCTATATTAATGTTTTCTCTAATTCCTGTTTAGCCCAGAATTGTCAAAATTGGATTTGATCTTACATCTAATTGATGGATGTGTTTCTCGTTAATAGTCAAAACTTTATGAATTTGAAGAAATAAAATCTATGGTTGAGATAATAATTCACATATTAAAGGATGTGACTTCACTATAGGTTCTACACTGTTCCAAACAAGCACCAATAAATTAGGGGAAGATATGAAATCCAAATTATAGCATTTTAAACTATGAATTAAGCAAAAAATTAATTGGGCGAAAGGTCGCTAAGTATTGGCTATTTTTTTTTTTTTTTTTTTTTTTTTTTTTTTTGTAGGGATATCACACAATTTCTTAAACCTAGAGCTAGACTCAGAGGATTTTACAGTCACTTGATGAAATAAAATTTTGCCTTCTAAGATAGTCGCCCTTTAAGAGTTTAAGTCTGGATGCAAAAAAATTCAGTATATGATACCTTTGAGTAGGAACTTTCTGTGTAAGCAAACCCTAAAGCAGATCGATCAACTTCCTTATCTTCCCGTTGTCTTAATTTGTCAATTTTCTGCTCTTCCAATTCTAAAATATTGCTTCTGTTTTTTTTAATTATAAAAATACACTTATATTATATTTATCTTATTATATAAAATATGTTTATTGAAAAAATGAATATAAAATACTTTATGGGGGCATTTGGTTGGGGGTTATATGAGATTACTGGGGTAATATTATCGTATATTACTTGATTACCATGTTTGGTTGTCAAGTAATATAAGATACCGATAATCTTCAAATACCAATAGTGGTTACTATTGGTAATATTGGAGGTAATCTGATTACCTCCATTTTCTTAGGTATTCTAAGATTACTAGGGTTATCTTATTTTGTTACAATTTTATCCCTTATTAATAAAAAATTTGGACAATAATACCCCTACTTTAAAATAAATTTACATTAATATCCTATTTCAATACCTTAATGCCCTTATATTTAAAATAATTTACAGACCATCACTACCACCCAGCCACCACCACCACTGCCACCCAGCCACCATCCCCGACAACAGGCCAACCATCATGGGCCGCCGCCGGAAAATCACCAGAGTCCCTAAAAAAGAACGAGACTCGATGAGAGACTCCGGGAGGCTTCGATATGCCTATTTCCAGTCATATTGATGGGTGAAAACGGCCATATCAGGCCAGATCTGGATGATGATGGCCAAGGATCTGGCCGTTAGCGGCTAGATCCATCGATCTAGCCTGATATGGCCGTTTTCGGCCATCAATATGGCCGAAAACGGCCATATCAAAGCCTCTTGGTCATGGTCAGCTGCTGATGGGGACTTTCGGAGACTTCCGACGGTGGTCTGCGGTGGCGACAGACGGCAACAGGTGGTGCGGGTGATTTCGTAATAAATTAAAGTTTTATATAAGTTATGGTGTTTTAACTAAATCTGAAATATTGGGGGTTAAATAAAATTATGCAAAAATTAATAATAAAAATAATATTATATTAATATTTGAAAATAGGACAATTTGGTAATTTAAATAATAAACCCACCAATTTATTCTCTATAATCAAATATATTAATATAGCATACCCACCAACTAACCAAACACATTTTTCTAAAGATTCATAGTAATCTTCCAAGATAATCTATCTTTCTAGTAATCCAACATTCTCAATAATCTAACATTTCTGAACCAAACACCCCCTATGTAGAATATTGTAGATATTGACAAAAGAAGATACGGATTTGGGTCTCAAAATTTGGGCTTTTTATGGGAGGCCCATAAAAAATTTTCCATGTTCACCCAAAAGACAAGCTGGATACACTTGAACACGTTGCTACATCAAAAAATTGACAAGTAGAAAGCTTTGACACATTGCTGCTTTCTCTAACGTACATGTGTTTCTAACGTTATCAACCGCCAGAAGATAAAACTGTTTTTTGAAAAAGCTTTCACCGTTTTTTCATTTTCTGCAAAAAAACAAGATCAACATGGAGAAAACAAAGAAAGTAATGTTAGGAGTTCAAATGAAGAACAATAAAAAGAGTTTTCCCAATAAGAGAAACAAAAAGAGATTGGTTAAACAAGTTGTGGATTATCTCAAAGCCGATTCTTACTTGTTTGCTCCTCTTCTCGTCAATTCAAACTCCCCTTCACCAAAGGCAAAGTTCACCTCTTCTTCTTCTGCAGGTACAAAAATTCTCTTAAATTTCACCTTTTTTTTTTTTTTTGGTTTTTATTTTTAATTTTTTTTTTTTTTTTTTTTAATGGGTTTTTTTTTTTTTTTTTTTTTTTTTTGAAGGATTGGAGATAAAACAACCCATTAGAGGAATAAAGAAGAAGAGGTTATTGAAGAAGATTGTTGATTATATGAAATCAGATTCTTATATGTATGCATCCATGTTTGGTAATCGACAAATCAGTTCTCCTGCTAAAGGTAATTTTGATTGATTTCTTGATTGCATTCTTTGGTAAAGAACCCATGTGTATTATAGATCATGAATTTCGCGTTTAAATGCGAATTTGGTTATTTGAAATTGTGTCAGTAGAATGTTTAGATGTAATTGAAGTGAGAAGGATGTAATTCATGGTTACTCATAAGAGTATTTTGAAAATAAAACCCTTTGTATTTTGCATTGGATGGTTAAATTTCGTTTCGATCTTTTATTGTTTAGGCAACATGTGCAGAAGATATGCTTTCTGCCTATTCCTTATTGACAACATATTGATTGATAAGTTTCTAATCATCAATGGTTTCATGTATTTAACCATTTTTTTAGCTGGTACTAGTTGAATGAGCTAGTGATTTAATGAGCAAAATTTATTTTTACAACGACCTCTTAGCTGGTAAGATACCAGTTTACATAGAATCGAAAGATCGCCGTATGCAATAAATGGAAACATTCGGCAAATGATCAAATGTTGTTTGGAAGTAGCCATACTTCTCTGCTGATCTGTGGTAGAGGATTTACACTTTGGTGTTCGGGCAGCTAATTAGATGGCAGTGAGTTATGAGCTTTGTGACAGGATAGATCTGAAAATGTGATAGTCATCTTGTGTATCAATTGCATGTGATTGATGAATGTCTCTTGCTGATGTCAAACCAACTTATTTACTTCTACCCCCTTTGGAATGCTAGTTTCTGAGCATATAACAACTTCTCCACAAGGAGAACAGTTAACCAGTGAATTCAATCTAGATGCTGTTACATTAATGTTCCAGTAAGGAGGCGGTTCTTTTGAAGAGTCTGTATCTGCATTTTATCTATTAACCATGGCTTTGCCGATTCTGAAAGATACATATTAGCTCTAGGACAGCAGTTATCATGGACAAGTAATACCTGGTTGTCATTACCGTATCTTGGTTCTTAAGTTGCAACGGCCTTCACAAATTTGCATGCGAAAACTTTTTTGTTTGTGGCAAATTCGCTTCGTAACTGTTTGATATATTTCCTATTTTATAATTTCAGGATCGGTTCGGTATGTCAAAAAGGTCACCAAGGAAATATCAACAAGGAGATTGACTACGAAGAACAATGAACCAACAGTTCAGTCCACAAATCTTATAGCAGAGGACCAAATTTTCAAAGGCAATCTTCCTGAAGCAAGTATCTCTGGTCCACAAACTTCAGCACAGAAGGAAATGGTTAAGAACATGGTTTATTCGAACTGCCGCTCCTCATCCATTTCAGGTCAGCCGCTCCAACACTTGAAAAGAATTTGTGCTAGACTAGACTTTTTCTTTGGGTTTCATTATTAATAATATCCTTTCATATGTGCATAATCTTGCTTAAAATTAGGCCAATAATGACATGGATTAAAATAGAAGATATATTACTTGATAAACTTCGTCTGTTCTAATTTGCTGTTTTAATTTGAATTATTCATTGGGTACGGTATAATGAGACGACATTAACCAGTTTATATAATAAAGTGGATTCTGAGGTAAAGCATGACTCTTTCCTGAAAGACTCGCCATGCATCTAGTCGAAGGAAATGAGAATGATGGAAATTGGAATTTTTTTGTGATATGTATCTTAAAATGTAATAATTTGGTTCAAGTATTTTTTTACCAGGAATAACTTATGTGTCTGGTACATCTGCATTCTGTAATACATATATAATTTTCTGTTTTCTTGTCTTAGTTTCTGTGTCTTGTGGACAAGTTGAAAATCAGCCTCACTGAATAAGCTTTTCTTTTTTTAAATTAATTAACCTTTTTTTTCGTTAATTGTTGTACTTATCGCTTGATCAAATAGAAAGACTTACTAGATGAATGACTTTTGTTTTTCGAAGACTGGTTTGTATTTATGCTCTTGTCGCTCCCTCCCTCGATAAAGGAAAAAAAATCCCCTGAAAGAGGAGTTGAAATGCTGTTTTTTGATGAGAAGGCTTCTATTCTACGTAGTTTGGTTAGTTTCAGTTTTATAGCAATCCATGTAAGAAGTGAACAAGGGGAAATACAGAAACGTTAGAAGTTATCGAAATATAATTCCCAACTTTACTACTCCAAGGGATCATGATAATAGTTTGATGATGATTCTTCGTGTAAAAAAACAGAACATTAGACATTTGGCGTGAGAATACTACTTTGAGCCATGTTTCTAACAACATTCGACTGATTATTTTCTGATAAAGTTCTGCTCCTTCTGAATTTCTGGCAGAGAATATGGACTTTTTAAATATTGTTTTTCCTGATTAAATGTCTTTCAAATCAACTCTGTTCAGCTTAAGATGCTGTTTGCTTTGTTACAGAGAAAGGAGGCCTCGACTCACGGCTAAGGAAGCTTCTTGTCGACTGATCAATCCCCGGTATATCACACGCGAACTTAATTATACAGATAGATATTTGTAATTGTAAATCTGGATATAGTCTTTGCTGTTTGTGTTTTCTTTTGTGTTTGGAATATGATAATGAGCTACTGTAACTGAACTGACTTTAGGTTGGCCCAGAATAATGATGTGGTTATGAACATGATTCGCGACATTTCTAACCGGTCTTTTATATTAAGTTGGATAGATAGAATGGAGCTTGTACACAGAATCTATCCAGTTGAAGCATTCTAGCTAGATGAATTGCATTTAGTTAATGATCTTATGAATGATTAGCTATCAAAGCAATGCAGCAAAACAATTAAGTAGTCGATTCTTGTTCGATATTTAGAATGATTAGACTTGACAAGAACTTGGTTTAGCCTCGGCAGCGCCTATAGTGGGGATGTTGAAGTCAGGGAAGTGATGAACGTGCACCATTTTAATTTATCACCACCCCTGACGCGATAACACTTGAGCCATTATTAGGCTGCTCAAATGCTTTAATGGTGTGAATGTGACGTAGAACGTCAAATGAGCGTACAACTTAATAGCCTAACTTTTGTTCTGATAAAAATTGACAGTCATAGGTTATCAACAGAAAGGTCGTTTTGAGTCCGAAGACATGGCAATAGAGTTTCCAATTAGGTGCATTTTCGAAGACAAAATCTACTGTTTCAATGTGTGTCAGGCCGTTTTAAGTTTTCTATGCGTTTTTTCTATTTATTTAGAATCTTTTCTTATTTTATAATTAGTACACAGTCGAGATTCTTTTCTTTTTTTAATTATTTTTGTGTTTAATTAGATTTTATTCCTTATTTGATGAGAGTCTGTAGGGTTGGTTGTCAGCACCCTAAATAATATATTATTCGTTTTGAAAGTTATTCAGGAGGATTCTCAGATTTTATTTCAACATATAAACCTAAGTTTATTGATTTAGATTTTTATCAATTCTAAAAATATGATCGAGTACTATCCTATTGTTAGGCTACTCGCGGGGTTAGAATAGTACCAATTATTATAGAACTTTCATGTAACGAAAATTATAGACCTCGAAGCACCTAATTTTGATAATTTCGTTGTTATATCGAGTTCGTGGTGTTCTTTCACATTTCAACTTCAGGTCGGCGCAGAGGCCTGTCTTTGTAGAAAAATAATTTGAAGTTTTCTGCTGAATTATTGAGTTACGTGTCTTGATGGATTTGTGAACTTTTGAGAGTTCAGGTTTTCTATTATTGAAAATGTTACATGCTAAGAGCCAAAGATACTACGTCAAGAATGAAGAGTGTGTTTTCATGTTTTCAGGAATAGTGTTGGAAAAATCAAGAGGCCAACTAATGTGAAAAGTTGTTCAGATATCCTCTCATTTATCACATCGAAGAGGAATGGATTGTCCAATTGATGTGAAAGTTCTCCATATTTTTCCTCCCGAGTATCACTGGAATAACGAAACAAGTACAATGCTGTGCTGATCGGAAGGGTTTAGCAGGTGTTTGGGGATCTCTTAGTTTCTCTTAGAAATGTTCGGAGGGGGCAATTATTTTCTGTTGAGATTTAAAGTTTGACATGGCTAGAAAGGAGGAGATTAGCTTTCTTAGGAATTTTAATTCCTCATCAAATGAATGATGGATATCACATATTCATCTTTAAAATTTTGTTGGTATTTTAATGAGAAGAGAATTAAGTGCTGAAATTAAATCAATTTATTGGTAGTTTGGTGAGAAAGTTTGGTGGGAAAAGGAGAAATAAGTAATAAGATTGTATGAATAATAGGATGATATATTGTTTTATTATTCTGATTATGATCTTTTAAAGCTTATGGGGAAATTTTAATTCATGGGATAAATTGTCGTATGATGCTCGTTTTTCATCTCTTATTGAGAGTTCGTAGAATTTTTCTTGAATCTCTAATACAAATACATACTTTATTATATACACATCTCAGTCAAACCAATATTACAAAACAAATAATCGAATGTCGTTTTTATCAAAGTCTAACTCAATGGACCAAAATATAAGCTCCACATTCAATAACAAATACTCACTAATTTCCCAATTTGATTGTGACAATCTTAATTTGATCTCCCACCACCATAAATTTGGCCCTTCAATTCTGTCTTATTTTCACAAACTCGAATTCCAAAACAAAAAGAATTGCACAAATGGGATGTAAAGAACTTTTTTGCAGAAAATAGATGGACCCGAGTCATATTTTTATCCTATATATTACCAGAATGCAACTAATTAATTAAACAAGTGGTGTAAATATGAAAGGGAAATTAAGTTTCAATAGAGTCCACAGTTTAGTGTCAAAAGCTTGAGTTTTCTGGTTCTGATTTTGTTGCCCGTCGTCGTCATCATCCTCTTCATCAAGTTCTGTTTGAAAGGATTAAATTTGAAAGGTACATTGCCTCGTGAAAGAATATTTATTATTATTATTATGAGAGACGAGACTTGCACGTGTGTGGCATTCAATTGGATTTAGACCTTGTTGAAGATTGATTTGTCAATGATCGACACACGCTTGCACAGAAATGTGTCACCTCAATCTTAGTATCGGCTAGGCTGGTTTTTGGCCCCTTCTGTACAACCCATGTTAGTAGAAAAAACGAAAACTCCATTAACATGCAAGGTTTAAAACCAATCAAAGAGTCACGTCCATGGTGCATTGCAATTATGTCTCAACCTAGCGTTATTTCTATTATTAATGTTTTCTCTTAATTCCTTGTTTAGCCCAGAATTGTCAAAATTGATTTGATCTTACATCTAATGGTGATGTGTTTCTCGTTATTAAGTCAAAACTTTATGAATTTGAAAAAAAATCTATGGTTGAGATATAATTCACATATTAAAGGATGACTACTTCACTATAGGTATCTACACTGTTCCAAAACAAGCACCATAAATTAGGGGAAGAATGAAATCCAAAGTTATTGCATTTAAACTATGAATTAAGCAAAATATAATTGGGCGAAAGGCGCTAAGTATTGGTTATTTTTTTTTTTTTTTTTTTTTTTTTTTTTTGTGAGGGATATTCACACATTTCTTAAACCTAGAGCTAGACTCAGAGGATTTTACATCACTTGATAAATAAAATTTTGCCTTAAGATAGTCGCCCCTTTAAGAGTTTAAGTCTGGATGCAAAAATTTAAGTATATGTATGACACCCTTTTGAGTAGAACTTTCTGTGTAAGCAAACCCTAAGCTGATCGATCAACTTCCTTATCTTCCAGTTGTCTTAATTTGTCAATTTTCTGCTCTTCCAATTCTAAAATATTGCTTCCATGCTCTTATTTCTTAAAAATCCAATAATCACAAAGTGAATTCAGTGGGGATTAGACCTCTAAACTTCAGTGTATAATATATCAGGCCGCCTTCATTCGATAATTGAGTACACGATTCGCAAAAGTTGACATCATTCAGAAAATTCTACAGGAAATTAGTGGTTGTTCAATCGTCCAGTATTCACGATGTGTCGTCTTGTCGGCATAGTTTAATTGGATTTTACCCCAAAGACTTGCCCAAACACCTTTTTGAAGATCTGAGAAAACTGTATGTTTTAAATTGTTTGTATCGATCGTGAAAGTTTGATTTACTTCAAATCTCCAGAATCTTTTGATGATTTGTAATCTTTCAATTTGATTGTATGATTTGTGTTGAGTTGATTGATTGATGCTGGATTGATTGATTGATTCACTTCTCGTTACTTTTGTTAAGAAATGATCGAATTTAGTCATGCCTAGTAAATTTTTTTTTTTTTTAATCAATGTCCATGCTGATTTTCGCGTACATTACTAATCCTTTAAAGTTTTAGAATTATCACTTAGAATTATCAGTTGATAAGACCCTGATGATCTCTTATATATCTGAGAGATTCGAACTCAGAAATTATAAAATCTTTTTGCTCTTTTTATCATCAAACTAAAAAGATAAGGATATACTATATAAGAGATATATAAGATATGTATATATGTTTGGTGCAAACTTACACCCATGTGCAATGTTATCCTTGAAGAGATGCTTAATTATTCTTTGTGATTGGACTGATTTTATTTATTTATTTTGCCTATAAAAACCATCTATTTCAAGCTTTGATTGATCATAAGAAACCATAACTCATCTCTTTCATTAATCTCTCTATCATCATAATGAGATCGAGGAGCTCTTCCCCCTGAGAAGAAAGAAAGCAAGAGTGATGAATCGAACTCATCATCACCTCAAAGGAAGAGCTTAAGCAGCTTCTGAGATCATTAATCCTACAGGCTGCCAAGAAATGGACTGGAACTTTGTTTCAAAGTGTTGCTGATTACATCTTGTTCCTCCAAGTCAAAGTGAGTTTGCTCCGGAATTTATCTGTGTTTCTATGATGTCTGAGGAGATTTTGGTTGTATCTTGTTTAATCTACTCTTTATATAGAAAGAGTTTAGAAGTTTAACGATCGATGATACTATACATATATATAAGATCTGTTTACGCAGCCGTATATATTTCTCTTTATTTATAAATTATGTGTGCATGGTAGTGCTACCTGCAAAAGATGATATGGATCGAAGCTTGGACCTGAGAACGACAACCCTAAAGTGTTTTTTAGTTTTTTCTACTCCATCAAAGACAATTTTATATATAATTCTCTAACGCTTGGATGATATATGCACTGTCTTACAGTTTTCGGGTCCAAATTAATTATGTTCGATGATTTGTGATTGGGCCTCTTTGCGGCTTGATTTTCTAAGTTTATCACGGCAATCTCTTATAGCACTTCACAACCACATATGTCCTTTTCTACAACTAATAACACTGAGGATCCAGCATGAATTTATCATTACTTCAGATATTGACCACTTCAATATAAGGGACCGCACAACACATCAAGGGTTCCGTGCCCAGTCCATAGGCTTTGAGCCTATTCAATAAGAAAGTATCTTAAAATTTCTACAAAGAACCTAAAAGTAAAAAAAGAGCAACATAAAAGAAAAAGAGAGAGAATCATGAATTACTGAAGTTGTCTTTGTATCCCTTGTAACTTCTTTTCAGATTAATCATGCTAATTCAATAAAGAGATTGTGAAAGAATTTTTATAAGTAATTAATTTCGCTTGATTAGGTTAGAAAAAT